CTGGCTCTACTACCACATTTATTTCAGGTGATGATCGAAGCCCGTGACAATGGAAGTCTTCTCAGGGAAGAGTACCGCCAGCAAATATGGGATTTAGTTTATGAGATATCAAACAATATCACCGTTGAAGTTAGTTTTCCATGAAAAGAAGTCGATCTGATGTATTTTTTGATACAAGAAGCACTTTTCAGGATTCCGTAGGACACATTCTGAACTATAAGGACATGTGTGACCCATACTGTCAAAAAAATGACCCTTTTTTTGCCTTATTGAAAATCTTAAACCAAAACTTCTCCAGAGTTGATGTAAGACTTTAAAGCTAGCTTTTTCTTTAATGATAGCAATATTCCAGATTACATACCCAACACTGGATCTGCTGGGAAAGCAGATTTTCATAGCTGCCAATGTTTACGATGTTACCTTTGACTCAAAAACTCATGTACTGCTAGGATTTCGTACTGTCATTCTCCGATACTATATGGTGTACCCAGAGGCAAAGCCGCTCACAGCGTGGGAGGAAAAGGTTAGTGGATTCTCTACTATGAAGCAAATTTTGTGTATAGCTGTATTTAGCTAGTTCACCTTCTCTACGACAGTGATAAATATAATCTATTGAAATGTGGGGCCGCATCGGACAACCTAGTTGGAAATGAGGTAAACATCACGATGGTTCACTTCTGCGATTATGGCATCCAGAGTAATTATCAAGATGGTAATGTAATTAAGAATTAACTTTGCACAAAAAACGTCGAAGTTCACATGGTAGCTAGCATGATCTGTAAAAAATGCTCGAAAAATCACTCCTAACCTAACAGGGAAGGATTTGGTCGAAGTGGCGATTTGACATAGGGTACCTGCGAAAATTTCTTTGGGAGAAGATATGGGCATTTCTTCTGCCAAAAATTGCTTCTAGGACATGGATAAGAATGCTCAAGTTCAATCGCTGTCAAAAACAGCAGAGAAAGGAGTGAAATTTGATGAAAGCTGCCTTTATGAAAATAAAGCTTTTGCTTGTTAATTTATATTGGATTTGATACTGTACTGTGACCACTTATTAAGGAGCCACAAAAACTAACTGGGCACAGAAAATTTTTATAGCCTCTTCAACAGGAAAGCTTCAGATATGTACGGCAGATTGGGATCAGCGTTCAAAACTGCATCTACCAATACGCTTCTCTTTTTCAATTGCCACTTGACCAAGTATTCTTCCCATGTAAGAAGCAAGCTAAACCCTCAATTCCAATGAAATTACTAGACCAATGTGCCTGTTACAAATGCCTTGCGTCCTTGTCTTCAACTAAGAGGTGATCTAAAAGCCATTTTCACGAGTCCTTCAAGTTGTTTGTGGCAGCGCTCCGCAATATTAAAGGCAGATTTAGAGGTGCGAGGTATGCATGCATTTAAATATTTTATTAGGAAGAACTTCATGAAAGTTGACTTCTGAGGAAACGAAGTGGATAGCAGAAGGCTTTGGCCACCAAAAAGCTTCTTCGCAATAGGCTGACTTCGCCAAAAAATCACTAATAGTAGTGTTAGAATTATTAGTTATCATTTATTATGGTTTGTTGAAATTATTTACAATGCGAAATTAGCGTGAAGAAATAGCGGAGGCAAAAATCTCGTTTCTTTTTCTATGATTGCGCAATTCTACAACGGACAGCCCGTCGACTGAAGATCATCGCAATGGACGTGTGTTTTATCTTTTTCTCAACTTTTTAATTCCAGACTGAACATTACGCCTTTCACCTGTTTTTTCTTAAGAATGTATGATTTGTCGTAACCTTGTACGTTTTTTTCCCAATGAAGCGATCACTAAGCGAGAGGAGCTGGTTACCTCTGTAGTTGAGTATGTTAATACCGTTGGCCAGCCGTTTCATGGTGTTCTCTTTAGAAAGCGGAATGTTTGAAACACTTTCATGCAAGGAAAAAAACAACTATTAATTTACCAACACGATATAATTAAAAATGGCGTATAATATTGAAACAATGCAGATCATAACAACACAATGGAACGAATAGAAGACCAATTACATCTAGAAACCATACCTAAACAAAAGTATCTGCCTGATTAGCTCTTCTGTCGTTGAATCTCTGCGCTCAGCTGGGAAAAAACAAACAAGTATATGACTCACCAAAAACAGCAGGTGAAAG